AGTGGTAATGAATCAATGGGTTCTCCGGACTTTTTCCAAAGAGAGCAAATGTGATATGTGTGCTCAAACGGGTCAGCCTACCGCCAGAACCGAGTTTTCAGCGGAATCTGCTCCCTTTGCAAAAAGTCCGGAGAACCCATTGATTCATTACCACTAATCTGATGGAGAAAACACATATCGGCATTGGTGGGCTAATGGTTAGCTCACAGGAGCGCTAAACATGGGTTCCATGTTTGAATTCGCTGGAGGCGGCCTTCTTTCATATGTATTGGTATTGTTCTGGTAAATCATCAAGTTGCTAGAGACAAGTGACGATCATCCCAGTGGCAGAGTGAGTACGGCAAGAGCTCTCCAGAGGCAGTGTTCGTTCGGAATAAAGGATTGCTGCTCATAAGCCTACAGAGTTATGGGCGAAAGATTCGTCTACGGCCACGATTTGAACTCGCACATCATGCCATCTGATTTGATACGCTGGCCATTGAAATTCAAAACTGATATACATTGGATAATCTCGAGTGGACCTCGCTACAGAACGGCACAAACGCTGAAGAAAAGGAAGAAGGAGATAAGAGTTTCGAATTTGTCGTTGCCTTTTTTTCTATATCGCTTGAATGTTTTCGCTGTCCAACCATCCAGTTTCGAGCACATTGTAGCGCACCCTTGCGTGCATAGTAAATAAATAAATAAATAAATAAACAAATGAGTAAATAATCAAATAAGTAAATAATCCTTCTATAACCTGCCAATTCTTCCCATTCGTTACCCTGTCTAGAGTCCTTGAGAACCATCTCGCACCCCGTCCTTGCTCGATTTTTTTCAGGTTTCCATGACGTTTGCCTAGTCATCATCCGGTTGAGAAGGCAAAATCCGGACCGGACCTGGCGCTTCGTTTGCCGATGCTTTTCGGCAGTCGCTTGGCCATGAGCCTACCACAGATTCTTCTATGAGCCGCCCGCAGATTACATGTCCTGCACACAATATATGAAAACTGGTTTTATGGCCACGGCACGTGAACCCTCCCGCCTTTGAACGAAATCGTGGACCTGTTGCTTAACGTAGTTTCTGCCTAACACTCGTACCACCCACTCATCACGTCACGTACGTACACACACAGAGCTTTTTGATCCCCTAAACCAACCAGCCACTAAGAACTCTAGAACGTGCACTTTAGCGATTTGAAGAATGGTTGAGGTATGTTTGAGTTACGACGAGCCACGCCCACTTCTGTTTGAGTAACGTATCGTTTTTGTTGGAGGAAACGAGTACTCTCTTCTAGCTGTGCACTTTTGACTTAATGATCTCCAAAAAAGTTGGAAAAGTGTATCTGGGCTGAAAAACAGTCGGAAAGGCTCAGCACAACGCACGAGTATTCCTGGAGCGTAAGCTGTCGAGACTATTAAGTGTTTGGAAACCTAAATATAGCCAAGAACCCTGCGAGGACGGTGGGGCGCGAATCGGAGCGCAGTCAAAACGGCATTTTCCACCAGAAATCCCATCTTGGGTTCGCAATAATGGGAGGGAAGGGCGCCCTGCCTGACTACCAGTCTGCGCCCTTTCACACGCCCTCTCATTCACAGCTTTCATAACTGTATGCGAAACATTATGCGATGGTGAGAGGCGCACGGACTAGACAGTATTTTTGCTTATTTAATCTGTAAGACTGTGGTGATTTCGCAATAGATCATTTAAAGACAATTTCCGCCATTGAGCCAGTGGCTCATAAGTAGCTTCCTAGTGGAAAAAAAGCGAAAAAAAACCTTGGAACACCCTAAAGACAGACCTGAG